TATTTGCCTACCAGTCATAAGACAGCACCTCGTGCCTGGCTTAGGAGGTTGGATTAGTTGAAATAGGTTAGTATCAGGCAGTAATACAATAGAAGAAGGCTTCACGTGACAAAATTGTGTTTCTTGCCTACACGTCATGTTCCACAAAGCTGGCTGGGGCTCTGCTCCACAGAGTCACTCAGGACCCCAGCCTGCACCCTCTGAGCATACAGCCCCTTCCGTCTCTGAGACAAGGAGGAGAAGGCAGCCGGATCCTACAAGAGCAGTTCAGGGCTTCAGAGCACAGGCGACCTCTGTCCCTTCCACTCACATCCCGTTAAGCAGGACAAGGCCGGGAGGGAAGTGCTTCCTCGTCTTGGCTGTTGTAAATAGCGCTGCTGTGAACATTGGGGTGCGTGTATCTTTCTGAATTGAAGTTTTGTCTGGATACATGCCCAGGAGTGGGATTGCTGGATCGATCATAGGGTAACTATTTTTAGTTTTTTAAGGCACCTCCTTACTGTTCTCCACAGTGGCTGCACCAAATTACGCTCCACCAGCAGTGCAGGAGGGTTCCCTTTTCTCCACAGCCTCTCCAGCATTTATTATTTGTAGACTTTTGAATGATGGCCATTCTGACTGGTGTGAGATGATCCCTCATTATAGTTTTGATTTGCATTTCTCTGATAATTAGGCCTAGAGATGATCATGCTAAGTGAAGTAAGTCAGACAGAGAAAGACAAATGTCGTATGATATCACTTATATGTGAAATCTAAAGTATCACACAAATGAACTTATTTACAAAACAGAAGCAGACTCAGACATAGAAAACAAACTTATGGTAACCAAAGGGGAAAGGTGGAGGAGGGATAAATTAGGAGTTTGGAATTAGCAGATACAAACTACTATAAACAGAATAGATAAATAACAAGGTCCTATTGTATAGCTGAGGGAACGACATTCAATAGCTTGTCATAACCTATAATGAAAAAGAATATGAAAAGAATCTGTATAAACATGTAACTGAATCACTGCTCTGTCCACCAGAAACTAACACAACATTATAAACCAACTATACTTCAATTAAAAAAAGAAAAAAAAGAAAACCTCTGGACCTCCTGTTGAGGAGAAAAATAATTACGCAATGAACATATGGTAATTGTTGGATACGTGATGGGATCATTGGGTCTACCTGTGGGTTACATAGACATTGACTGCCCTTGTCTACAGTGGAAAGTATGTGAACCTCCAGACTTCCTCTGTGAAGTCCCTCTTGTCATTGTCACCCAGCCAGCAGCGCAGTCTGCTGAGTTGAAGTTCATGCTCTTCTTCCCTTGGTTTCTCTTCCAACTTCAGTGTGTTTACCTTTATAATTTTAATGTGATTTTTTTTAGAACAGAAACCATTTGGTCAGGTCTGGAAATTTGTATTCCTTTTTATTATGCATTTTTTCCACACAGCTAAGGGAACAGTGGGATGTTTTTGTTTAAAATAACATTCTCTTTTTGTGGATTGTATGCTCAAATTACACTTTTTCTTTATATAGCCGTTTTCTTTTTTTTTGGAGACACGAATGCATCTCGTATTGGAAAAAATGTACATTTGTGGTTCTTTTTTTTTAAAGGAGAATAGAGTGGTTCGGTTTCAAAATACCTTCTAAGTGCTCTTAGCTTTAAGAAAGTAAGTTTGCATGAGCGCTATTGTAATTTGGTTTCATCTTCTCCCCTCTTCAACATAGGTAAAATCCTTAAGATTAAAGCTTCAGAAACTTCAGGAAAAAGCAGTTGAGGACGATGATTATGAGAAGGGTGAGTTCTGCTTTTTTATTGATTCTTTCTTCTTTTCCCCACAAGGTTCAATTTCCCTCTTTATTCACCTCTGTCTTCTACAGCCCGGATGAACTGTGTAATCTGTTCCTGTGATCAGCTCCACTCAGTGACAGCTGACTCTTTCACAGCATTATTGTTTTGTGGATTTCAGAGCACTCTATGAGCAGTACTCCCTTGGGTGACAAGCATGACTTTATTGATTGTCCAGAAACACTCTGAGTACTTGCCCAATAAAAAGTGATATTAACTTGATATTAACAGGTGATGATCTGCCTGCCCAAGGTGTGGGGTATCTATACTTCATTCACTCATCAAAAAATGTTTGTTGAACACCTACTATGTGCTCGGCACTGCGGCAGGGAAAGGAACGTAAGGTGGACATAGTATTGACCTTGTGATTCCTGTGAATATAAAACCTCATGGGGCTTTCTGACTTGATGCTCGTTGGGACCAGGTGTAGGAGATAGGGTGATTTTAAGATGATGCCAGGCTGTGCCAGTAGGGCCTAGTGTATCTGAGTCCCATCTAGATGGCCTGAAATACCCAAGGTGAACAGGAGACGTAATGACATGAAGATAGAGGAGTTGGTCAGAAGTCAGGAAAAACAGTTAAAATGAGGCACTGGAATAGGATTTGGGCCAGAAGCAGACGAGGGTGGTCATGGCAGCAGGGTGGACACATGGTGGACCGTGTCAAAGGAGGGACTGCAGGTCCTGGAAAAGAGCTTAAGGACTTGAGTGCTGATTGTAGGATTTCACATCCATTCCTGCTGGGTCAGGGTTGAAAAGGGGGCTGAAAATGACTTCCAGGTTCCCCTGGACACTCATGATCTTGAAGGATGCTGCTGGTGATAACCAAGTGTAATGCACCGAGGACTAGTGTGGAAATACCGTGGATCTGAGGATGCTCTGGAAGCTTTTAGCTGGTCTTCAAACTCATCGGCCCATATCTTGGTATTCCCAGTAGAGACGTCACAGACTGTTAGGAATCGGGGTGCTACAGGAATGGGGCACGTGACTTTTAAAAGGAGGTTGCACATCCTATTTTAAGCAACACCCCGAGCTGATGCTGTCTGGGGTCCTCATTATGTACATATGCCACTGAGGTTGGGCTTAGAAAGAGAGATGGAAGGAGAGGAATTTGGGAATGGAGGTGGAACTCTGCCAACTCTGCCACCTTTCTGTTGACAGGCCGTTTCAATTTCGCAATGACCCCGGCTAGAGGATGAGGTATGGGAGGCAAACCTGAGGCTCGGGAAGTGGCCCTGTTAACCCCGCACCACTGTAGACAGGGAGCAAAGGGGTTACTCCTGGCCCCAGGTGCATCTGCTGACTTTTGTCTGTGCAAGACAATTAAACCTCGTTTTTGAGGCCTCCCACGATTGCACACATTTTTTTTTTCGTTCATAGGCTGAGTTTTCATTCCTTTACCTTTAAGCGCATAGCTCTCTCTGCAAGACACAAAGCTTCTGACACAGATGGAAAACCGCGCTCTCTTTTTCTGATCAAGGCCCAGTGAACTTTCTGGACGTGGTTCTCTCAATGGGCTTCATTAAAGGACGCCCTCATGTCTTTAGTCTTTTCTCCAAATATCTCTGGAACACCAAAGGGAACCCGCCTCACAGGGAAGCTAGAAGAATAAAGCCATCTTAAAAAATTATTCCACTATTTTATTAAAAAATTTTAAAAAATTGAAGTATAGTCAGTTACAGTGTGTCAATTTCTGGTGCACAGCACAGTGCCCCAGTCATGCGTATACATACATATATTCGTTTTCATATTCTTTTCCATTAAAGGTTATTACAAGAGATT